ATTCAGGATATGATACTAGAAAGTGGGTCATCCAACCATAATTCAGTAATGTAGTAAAAGAGGATGTGTTTTGTTTTGAGGTGCAATATATTTTTTTTCCCTGGCAGAATGGATGGAATACAAGAAGGAGGTTGTACAGAATTCCATATTTTTGGAATAGAGCCATTGTTCACTTACCTGACTGTAAGGTCTGTCTAATCGCTCCCCACTTGTTTTCAGCTCTGGAGTCCAACTACACAAACTCAAAGCAAGGTGGCAAGTCACCTGCAAGCAAAGCAGCAAGAAAAGCTGTTCATGCACAGCTGATTAAAGTATCTACTCATCTATAAGGGAAGGTCAGGGAAGAGTATTTCTATGAGTGATCAAGGCAAAGGCTCTTCAGAGGAAAAGGCTGCAGTCAGCTCTTCTCTCCCAATGCTCTGATTCCAGCATTTTCTGTTTTTCAGCCCTCTACTTCAGTAGTGCCATTCCCTTGTTTGATGCCTACAGCTATAAAGTCCCATGTCACAGATCAGCTATTATCACGCTCCAATCTGGAATATTTTGCTATGTTGCCTCATTCCTTATTTTTTGACGATTAATGATAACTCGCTGCACCCAAGTCAGTTGACTGACATTGTTGAAGAAATAATCATAAACTTGAACCAGAATCTTCCAAGCTTTTTTTATGTTTCAACCCAAGTCTCATAAAAAGTTATCATCTCACTCTCCCTCTTCCAAAGGAAAAGAAAATTCAGTACTGATAACACAACATACAACCCAAAAGTTTGCAAAAGGAGTCTGAATCAGTCTCTTATTTCTGGTAGATACATGAAACATCTAATGTTTTATAGCTTCTAGACTGCTCTATTCAGTCATATCCACTCTTCGATGCACCAGCTCATTCATCACTTGCAGGTTTTGGAATCTCAGACTATTAGAAACTCAGAATGTACCGAGCTTTTTTCCCTCCTGTTCCCAGAGAAACAAAAATTGTCCCCTATGAATCTATTCTCTTTAGCAGGCACCTCACTGGCAGAGGATATTTTCATAAGAAACTTTTTTTTTCATTCAGATTTTGCCATTTTATTTCTATGCCTAGTCTTACATGTACATGTATGTGGGTTTTTTTTTTTTTTTTTTGTGCATATAATATTTTACATTTTCATTGTTTCCTAAGGGTTTATACACCTCCTTTATTTCTAAATATATATTTGGGTCGTTGGCTTTTAAGCCGAATCTACCTACAGCATTTCAGCAAGGGCTGGCACTGGTTTTCTGCGTTCTGCTGTTTCATTCAGTATTGCCCAAAGTGAGCTGAATTTGCTAAAAGGGTGTTTAAGAAAGAGAAAAAAATGAATCTGAATCTCCATGAATCTCCATGGTTCAAGCCCTATACGATTTTCTACTGATCATTAGACAGTGGATGCATTGCATTTAAAGAAAAATGTTCACAACTACAGTCTTTCATAAAAGAATGACATTCATTTGGTCCATTACCTGTCATTCCCACACTTGATATGCCATGTTCAGCAAATACAGATAACATATGCAGGTATTAGTGACATTTTTTTCAAATGAAAACACTTCTTGATATCAGGGGTAATAATCCAAAACAAGTAATTTCTGCACATACAAGTAAATTATGCCAACTTAGAACTCTAATTTAAAGCCCAGAACCACTATCATAGGTCTTTTTCGATGGTAAATATTGGGGTATATATTTCATAATTTTAATAATTTTCTGTATGTTCTCTTGTCTGAGGCAAATAGCACAATTCGGATTTGTCTTCGGTATTTTTCCACACACAAAAATGTCTTTCATATTGAAAGTTTATCAAACTTTGTTTGACATTTAGGGAGCAACCTTTGAATAAAAATGACATTGAAATTCAGTGAAGTGAATCCTCCTTCACTATTGTCATAAAGACTAGGTATGCAGCAAATGAGCTCGCTAAAATTATATCTTTTTAAGGGCAGCTACTGACAGTACAGACTATATTTGTATGAAGTTAGCAGAGTATTTAGAATTGTAAGATCACACACTTGGGTTTTCTCTCACTCAGTTTTATTCAGATCCCTAGGATGGGGGTCTCCCCTCAGGATTTACATGTGAGCTGTAAGGCAACTACAACTAAAAGGATAACCTTTGCAATCCATGGAACTAAAAGAATAACCTCTGCAATCTTGCTCATACTCATTTTGCAATCGCTCCTCATGGTATATTGCCAGTTTTTTTGAGAACAGTTCCTCTCGGTTTACATGAAAACATCTTTTTAATCTTTTTTTATATACAAGCACTCGAGTTTATAAAGCTTAGCCTTTAGCTAAGCCCTTGCTGTTATATGCTAGCGGTTCCAAACAGCTGCCAGGCCTCGCGCCTTGCTTTGCAGGTTTGGTGTGTGTTTATGACCATTTAATCTAGGAAATGGTAACTTTCATTACAAACTGTGTAGAGATTTTTCAAATCCTTTCCTGTCATTTCACACCCACCATGCATTTTTATTTATGAAACCCTTTAGATTAGCATTGCCAGCATCCTGATCAGATATAAATCTCCAAGCAAAATGGACTGTCTCCATAATCTTCTGTATGCTTTTTCTGTGTGTAGCTGGAAAATCATTGACAACTGACTGTATCACACAGAAAACCATCTCGATCTTTTTTATATATTCTATATTTTTATATATTCTCTATCCTTGAAATTATTTATGTGAGTAGTTTCTTCTTAGATTACCAAGAGAATTGTGAGCTCTTCTTAGAGCTTTATGGGGCCTCTGGTTATAAAATTATTTCATTCCCTTTCCTCTTCCCATGAAAATACCACCTGGGTAAGTGAATATTATAAAATATATCTTCTGTCTCTTCATGAAATACTACAGGTTTACAGCATAGCCTAAGCAGTGTCTCTGGTAAAGCAACAAAAGCTTCCAATAAGGTACTAAAATGGGTAAATGTCAACTTTTTTTTTTTTTTTTTTCCTGAAGAAACATGCCAGAACCCAGATGAAACATATAACGTAGGAAAAGCAACTGGCCTCCAAAAATACTTTCTTCATACCTAGGGGAAGCACTGCTGATTCACGCATAGGTTTAATTTCTCGGCATGTACACAAAGAGAATCTTTTTCTTTCAAAATTAATAAAACACTAATTTAAATCACAGCCTCTTCAAATGCCTCCCCTGTATCTAACTTGTTTGAGTAATTCAGGGATATTGATAGGCTTATGTGACAGGGCAGCAAGAGGCTAGAGCTGTATTTTAAAACTTTCCTGCTATAATGAGCTATTAATTAAAACACCGTGAAAATGACCCTCTATCACTTTTGGGTTTCAGCCCTTCTCCAGTATATTCTTTCTTCAATAAACTTACTATCTCATCTAAAATGACTACTCTCATTTCCTGCAGCTATTACAAATATTGGCTGTTCAGTATTTTAAGCTTGCATTTATAGATCACTAACCCCACTGCATAATCTTAAATTCTACTTCCTGCATTTAACATGACAAAGCTCTCTCTGCAAATCTTTACAGCTTCAGAGACCATGTTAGCTTGTGCACAAAACTAAGCATAATAGGGAATCTGGAATTAAAAGTCTGACTTCTTCACAGTTACCCAGAATACTTGCTTTTTGCTGAGACCTCTCTTTTCTCTGCAAATGCCCAATTAACGAAAGCATCCGAGGGTGGGTACATGAGGGTCAGGAGGGTGTGTGTTGAGAATGACATCAACTGAGACAATAAAAGGGCTTCCAGGTTACTTAGAGGCTCCATTTCCAAGTTACATTTAAGGGGTCCACTAGACCAATTCAGTAGTCTTTAAATACACTTGACATCAAGGGACAGTCAGCTGCTGACATACCCAAACTAGAAACCTGTTGAAGACAGTGCCTGGTAAGTACACTTTTTTATTTCTGAGTTCTCTAGAAGACTAATTTTATCATTGATTCATTGCTCAGTTTTTACTTTAGCTTATTTTCTATCTTAAGTACAAAATGAATATAAGTAAGATCAAACTATTCTATTATCTGAACTAGATTTGTGAAATTAAGGAATCTGAGAGAGTGAGTTAGAAATATCTTAACTCCTTAACTGAATCCAACTCCCGAATTCAGAATATCATGTTAAAAGGACTGCTAGGAGCATGCCATACTCTCATGCAAGATACTGTGTGGTAAATGCTTTTCTGACCTAGCCTACAACTGTAAAAATACTGCAAAAATTGCACTGTGAAATTGTACATTTATTATATTTCAGTTACCCTGTCACAAACAGCATATGCTATAACAAAAATATGCCTCTTTTTCTGGCTGTCAATGTTGAAAATCCAAACTGGAAACTGAAATTTGGACCATGTTATTTCCAACTATTGTAGCATCATCAGTCCCAAGTATTCTTCAAGTTTACCGTGGGTGACAATTTTGCTGATGATATATTGAGCAGAGTAGAATTAGCACTGGCAATGCAGTATTAACACCAAAAAAAAAAAAAAAAAAAAAACCCATGTGAGGTGCAATTCTGATTTCTTTTATATAATTCAATGGGGAGTAACATCACTCAGGAGAGTTATGCCACCATGCAAGAATCAAGAACACTGTCAAGTTTTTCCTCCTAGAGAATACGCAAAGCAGTGATACACAAGAAATAGATAAAATCATCTGCATAGCTACATACAAGATTTTCTACCTACTTGGAGCTTATCAAGTATAAATGATTTATGAATATTAATAATGCTATTGGAAGGACACGGTGTTTTGCACCCAAGTGTCAAAGTGATGGGGACTGATAAGTGGATCATGCAGGGCAGCTGAGGCTGAGAGTTGTTCTCAAGACTTGCCTAAGAATTCACAGGAAGTTGTTCACAAAACGTTTTGTGTTAGAAATAACTGCTCTAACACACTTCATGAGGAAAAAAATATACTTTTCTATGTCACTTTTCTAATGTCTTTTTCTCCAAGCTAAATTTCTTTGAGTTAACTAAGAGAAATTATTGGAAATATACATTTACATGTGTATTTATTTATGTCTTTATAGGCAAAATGACTTCTATAAAAAATCTGGCCAAGACTGCGATCATTTTATATGCCATTTTCTTCTTTATGAAGTCTGATGGACGACCGATGACGTAAGTATAATGTCATACACCTTTGAAGTTTGGAGGATGATTTCAGCTGTTTGGGAGAAAATGGCCTATTTGTCAGGCAGCATATGAGTTTCTGTATGTGTACGAGCCTTTCCAAACCCACTTTTGAAGCCCTTAGCTGCATTAAGCAAAACTGGCCCAGTTCTATCTTTATGCATAACCATGGAAATCTCAAATACACTGAGTCCTTATAGATTTTCTGAAAAATAGGCAGCCGAGTGTAGAAAGAAAAGTCATATAAGCATTTCCCTAGCTGGATATTTCGCTTCCCTTTACAGACCCTTGGGGGTCTACATAGGAGAGCATCTTCAAAAAGGCCCAATTTAGGGAGACTCTTTAGCTGGAACATACACTTGCTGAAACATTATCATCACTTAGCCTCGAGACACGAATCCACAGGAATCATGCTTCCTAAGCTATGGGGTTCACAGGAAACTACTTCTGATTAAGTGCCATAATTTTATTAATTGGTTATGTATTATCATGAGCTCAACTATAAAAGCTAGAATCAGTGCTAAACTTATTGTAGCCAAACAATATTGTTGCAAAACAGAACTACCTCACATTTTTGCTGCCTTTTTGCTGCACTGATAAATCCTCTACCACTAATGAACCACTCTCCATCCTTCTCTTCTCCAGATGTCACTCTGTCCCTTATAAATTGGAAAGATGGGTCCTAAAGCTCTGGATTCAGTACCTTCCAAAAGTCCCCAAACCCTTTTCTATTATTTTTTGTAAGACTAAGAATTCCAGGAGGGCTGTGATGAGTCTCCATCTTTGCTTCCCTCGTGTACAGGAAAAGATCAGTGAGTGAGATGCAGCTGATGCACAATTTCGGAGAGCATCGGCACGCCATGGAGAGACAGGACTGGCTCCAGATGAAGCTGCAGGATGTGCACAGCGCCCTCGAGGATGCCCAGAGGCCGCGGAACAAGGATGATATCGTCTTGGGGGAGATCAGAAGCAGGAGGCTGCTCCCTGAGCAGGCACGGGCAGCAATGCAGAAGAAATCCATGGATCTGGACAGAGCTTACATGGATGTGCTCTTCAAAACCAAGCCATAAGGAGAAGCAGCAGAGCATTGTGGCTGTCCAAGCAAGCACGTGTCTGTAGATCACTGATCAAGTAGGGCATTTTATTATTATTATTTATTCAAATTACAATAAGAATTAAAAGCTCCATTCAAGATTGCAGCCTCACTGAGTTAGGTATTGCACAACCAAATAATAAAAGATGACTGCAGCCCACCCACCCATTTCTGGGTATCTTTCAAAGGGCTAATATATTTCCCACTTATCAATTTCAAATATAAAGTTTTTTTTTAATAGTCTTAAAAATCTTTACGACCAGTTCTACCACTCTTATATGGAGAACACTTGAATTTGATCTTTACGTATACTTGACCTGCTAATGACAAATGAATAAATACAGCAGAACCTGTATCCAGAATAGGGCATCATTTTCCCCAGCCTTCAACTGTTCAATGTTATACAGAAATGAAAATATGTAAATCTAAATTCACATCTTATTTTCTGAAGATGGCCAAAAATCATGTGAATTTTAATTACATAGCAAAAGCTGCAATATGTTAATTTAAGATAAAAGACAGTAAACATAGGAAAAGAAAGTAGGAGGGCAAATCTTAAGATTAAAGTCAAATGGGACAGAATTAAAATAAGTTCTGTAAGAAATCTAAGAATGAAATTTATCAAAATACTGAAATAAAATGAAGGTTTGATTGCACTCCCCTCTTCTGAAATATGACAATCTATAGTTAACTGTCATAACAGTTCTCTATTACAAAATCAATCAAACAAACAAACCTTATTTTCTTGTTTAAATTGCTATAAGACTTAAAACAAATTTTAGCTTATCAAGTCTCTGGAATGAGAAGCATTAACCTGTAGAAAATAATACCATGGAGGGGAACCATAAGCTCTAACATACAAAAACTCTAAGCAAGATTCAGAAAGAATGGATAAGAGAGATAAGAAGAAAAAAAAGTCATTATAGTAGCAATAATACATATATATAAAAAAAGAGAACAACAAATATAAATGCTGAGGAGTATATACAGATAAGTGCTTAGCACTGTCAACCATTTCTGAATAATATGGACATTTTCTCAGTAGGATTAACAGCCATTTCCTCCCAACTGGCAATTGCCAGAGCTAAACCCCAAGGTGAACGGCTGCCCTTAGACAAAGCATCTCTATGCACCTTCCCAGAGCCCTGCGTATTTGTTTGTGTGGTATCTAGCACACATTGGGGACCTAGTGAAAAACTCATAGTTACAGCTATAAATGCAGTCTGCTGGAGGCTAGAAACTAGTAACCTGTAGTTCATAGTCTTGGCTACACTTTTACTAATGCAAAGGCCCTGATGCTGCACGTAGACGATGCACCCATGTCCACGAGGACTCCATATCGTGGTTATGTTGGCAGGATCGAGGCCTTAAAGTGCACTTTCTATTTATTCTTTTACGGGATGTTTGTGCTAATTGAAGGGATAACTTTGCATTCTTGTACCCATGTCTCACTTATGTATTACCAAATAAAGTGGACCAAAGCTTGGACATTGTTTTAAAGCATAATAACCAACTGACTTGGTACTGTACTGATATAATTTAGCCTGGGCAAAACAAAGTGATTTAATAAAAGTAACACAGCAATAGAAAATAAAATAACACTGGATGCAATTTTTACTTCTCCTGTACAGAATCATACTGGTGGCTAAACCAAAGGTCATCCTCTAGCATAAATCCCTTTATGCCTCCTTTAAAACAGTAGCAGAAACTATTCAACCTCCAAGTGCCAAATTCCTAAACTCTTTCCTCTTGATCTAAACAAACATCTCTGTTAGCTAAAGAATTCCCTTTTGTTCTTCCTAATAGTATATGAAACACACATTATATTTTAAATTTCTGCACCCTTAGAAAGATATTCATTGCTGACCAAGGGCTTCAGCATCAAAGCCTGATGAAGCACACCTGAATGTGATTTAGCTGGCAATACAGTCACTGCCAGTGATTCATCCTCACCTGGTGTGTGTTGCTTTGCTCATCTATGTCTCACAGATGAAGGAGGCTGGGAAAGAACAGGGCCACTAAATATTTGCTTATCATGATAAATGGTAACAACAGCAGTTGGAAAAGGAACAAATAACAAGAGGTTTGATAAAGATAAATGGAAGAATCAGCAGCATGGAGAGGTGAGCAGTGCTGTGCTCTACCTTTCTAAGAGGGAAAGGTAAGGGAGGCAAAGCACTGAGACAGCACGTGGCTGAACACAGAGCTTCCAGCCAGTGCAAGCCCAAGGCTCATCCCCAGCCACCGCCATCGGAAGCACACGGAGCAGATGGAGGCACGAGGGAGCTCAGGGCCTTTCCCAAGGCTGCACTGCAATGTGCCTTAAGCCTAGGCTGAGGTTTGATGTGAGTGCTGTAAATGCTGAGCCTGCACTTCACAGCCGAGGCTGACTCGCCTGTGGCCGCCAGTGGAGACTTCTTACAAGCACTGCTGCGGTGAAATAAGGTTAGAAAACCGAAGAGGGCATAAAGTTTGCATAATGTTGCACCTACAGGATGACCCTTCCAAACATGGGCTTCTGCAGTATCTCTAAGGGCCTCTTTTCCTCCCTAAAGCCTGCAGTGTCTCTGCACATGTCATTTAAAGGCAGAAATCCTTCTTTCTTGGACTGTTTTTTTAATTATTATTTGCCTGCAAAGACCTATCCTGTGCAGATTGCATCTACTGTAAACACCTACTTTGATAATGTCAGTAAAGTAAATATAATCATGTTTCTTATTCATGACTCATCAGTGAAACAGTAAGTGCTAATATCAGTATTCATCTTCACAGGAAATAAACCAGCAGCATTAAAAAAAAAAAAAAAAAAAAAAAAAAAAGCAAGTTAAGAAAGCCCCAGATCAAGAAAACTAATAATTAAACCACACAATTTATAAGATCTGTAGGTAAAACCTCCTGCTGGTCACTGAGGTGTTGATGTGTTTTCCTTGGTGGTGGCTGCCTCAGCACAGCAGCGCCCTGCTCCCCTTCCCAGGACGTGTCCTTGACCTCTGCGGCTACTGCCAAAGGCAGGAGAAGGGTCACTGCAACAGACTCATGTTTTGCTGCATATTGTAGCAAAGCCTCTGGTTCACACAGGCTGTTTAGTGCTGCAAAGGGACAAACCCCTGCTCTTACCTGCTCTCTGACACTCTGGTGTAACAGCTTCGTGTGTCTAAGGCTCCCTGCTCAAAGCAGTCAGGTTTGCTGTGCGCTGGGCACCTTCACTGCACGCTCTGGAGACTTGACACTACCAGGTAAGTGACCCAAAAGGAGAGGGGTGATCCCTACGGGGCATAAGGCACAGGTTACAGAGTCCCAGTCTCTGGAGTTTCGTAGCTAGTTTGTCAGCCCTTTCCAGCAGTCTGACACGATATTTGAAGAATAAATGCCAGCAGTGAATCTTCAAGGGGGCCAGTGCCTGAGCTTGGGTTGCCGTTCACGTTTCTGCAGCGCTTTTGTCCCCATCATCGGTGCTGCCTTAGCTGTGGCGCAGGTAATCACGCAGCAGTTAGGACATGTTTAGGACTGCCTACAGGAGCCCAGGGTATTTATATTTCTACTCCGGTATTTCCCTCTCCTTTTTTTCCTTTTCCTGTTCCCTTTCGCTCCATTCTCCTCTCGCGGGCTCCCGGGAGCAGCAGCAGCCTGCCGGGAACCGCCTCAGGCTCCGCACAGGCCCCGCGGCTCCCGCTCGGCCTCGCCGCCCGCCGGGGGGCGCGCGCCCTCCCGCGCCTCCGCCCGGGGCCGGTGTCGGTGTCGCGGCCGCGGGACTGGGTCGTGCGGCTGTCCCGACACCCGGAGGTGTCCGTTGGCTGTCGCCATGGCAACGCCTCAGCGCCGGCCCTAGCAACAGCGCCGCGCGCCCCGCCCCGTAACGGCCGCTCTCGTGAGAGCTGCGCGCGGCCGCCTCTCCCCGCGCGCGCGGCTCTCGCGAGAGGCGGCGGCGGTTGCCGGGCCCGGGC